TAGATATTATTGCTCGTAATCGTGAAAAAAAAACATTAATAACATTGATAAAAATCAAGACATAAAATCGTTAAATTATTACAAATTTATTGACAATAATGTTGAAAAAAAAAAAAAAAAAAAAAAAAAGAATTATTGGTGCGAAATGGAATTAGTAATTATAATGTCAAATTATCTTAAGTACACGTAGATGAATAATACAACAAGGTTACGTATAATTTATATATAAAAGACTAAATTTGATTTTGTAAAAAAATGTTATTCAATGTTTTGATAAATACAATATTATAAATTTTATCGTCGATATAGCAAAATGGATTGTATTTAAAAGAAATTCGTTTTTTCTTTCAAATTATTATTGTATATAAGAAATTGTAAATGAATATAATTTTTAAATACTTAGCATTTTACACTTACAAAATAGTATATTAAACATTTTCTTGTGTTATCTCTAGAATAATAAAATATTAAGTAGAATTCAATCTATAAATTAACTCAGCATTCGCGTGTCTAATAATAAAAATAATAAGTTTATTATACGCACCAGTAATTACAAATCACAGCTCCTACATATATTTTATTATCTTTTTCAAAAATATACATCAAATTCTGACTTCCAAAAAGCTATTGTATTAACAAGGATACTAAAAATGTTTAAATAAATATGTGTAAAATTATAAAAAAAAGTTCAAAGTGAACAAATTTTCAAATAATGTACATAGCGTATTCTATAAAAATTTCTATACTTCTCTATGTTCTTATAGTAATAATAAAATATTTAAAACCGTAACGGTAATTTAGATTAAATAAATTGCAAATATGAAAACATTTTATTCTTTTCTAAATCAGTTTTATATTTATTATGTATTATTATCGTTAGTCAAGAATCTATTATAAAATGATGTAATACTTAAAAAATTGAAAATTGAAAATCGATTTGTAATATTATCTTTAAAAATAATTAAAAATTTTGATAGTAAAAAATTTATTTATGATGCAAACGTTAATTCTTCATAAAATTATGAATTCAACTTTATCAATATTATTTTAGCAATTATCTAATATATCAAATGCATGTAAAATAAGGATAGTTTAATCAATTGAATAAACAGCGCTTTCATTATATTTATTTAAAAACTACCAAAATATGACCTCCATTAAATTAGTATCTAATTGATTAGATTTAACAAAGAATAATACAGTATCTTTCTAGTTATTGATTGAGTTAATATGTAACGTGTCGTTAGACTATTAAGATTCTGATGAAAATTTGTACGACGAAATTATCAATTGTAATTCACTCGAACAAGTTCGAATTTCCAGATACAATTTTATAAAAAAAAATAATGACGGTTAAATGTATATGTTAGAATGACAGAAACCATGTCAATCCTTATAATTTAATAGCATTTACACAATTATCAATACTATTATACAGAATACATCAACTTTATTTTTCACATTTAATGTACGAAATATGAATATACATAAATAATTATGAACAAAATGTTGGACAATAAAAGAATTCCATACTACTTGACGACAATCCAGCAATTATGTAAATTAATTTATATTTTCTTTCACATTCAAGACTTTTACTAACACGATTAAAAAATCGTATCTTCTGTTTTCTATATTTATAAAATTTCTTCATTTACATGATAAGTAAAATAATATTAGCTTATCTATTTTCATTAAAAATTAATAATTCTATATTTCCTAATAAAAAAAAAATGATTAAAATATAGAACAAATATTTTATATACGTTCAGTATTTATTTAATATATTTAGATTTATAGATCATACACTTAGAATATATTTACTATCCTATATAATAAATGTAATAAAATATTTGCTTTCTAATATCCGAAACATTTGATTAATGCTAGGAATTAATATTTCGATAAATATTTTTAAAACAAAAATTTGAATACATATTTAGTAAATGACTCTTTTGTAAAGGATTAGAATTTCATTGATATTAAAGCTGTTACAAGAATATGTCAAATACCCATGAAAATTCAAAAATAATTTTATTATTTAATTCAATATAAACACATAAAGGAAATAAAAATGAATTTTAGGCCTCATAAAATTATATAAAAACGAATAATTAATATATTCAATTTAAAATTTAGATAGTCCCATATAACATACCATATACATAAAATTTTATGTAAATTCATATGTATAAGTCAATTGCATCATATATCGAATTATGCGTATCATTCATTCTCTGTGCACAGTAACTAATGAAATACGATCTGTTCTTCTTAAGTTCACATTGTCAACACTCATACTTGCTTACAATCCATTCTATTAATAAACGCAAATAGAAATAAACCAAATATGTTATATATCTATCCATAACATTGTTTGTAATTAATTATAATATGGTACAGTAGTAAAGAAAATAAGGATTTTAAGGAAAATTGTAATTATTATAAATTCCTTTTTTCAGAATTCATCATTAAATTATATACAGTAGATTAAATTTCATTTTACAACAATATGCCGGATTCATTATATATCATATCTGTATTACGGATTATCTATAAATATCGAATTTTTAATACCTTAATTGAATCTTTACAAAATATTTTTTAATTAAAAATATATATACTTAAAAATTTTTGTTACAAGTTCGTTTTTTTAAGTGCTTCAGCAGTAGCGATTTTCGATTATATATATATATATATATATATATATATATAGCCATATATAGCCATTTTAATTTTATTACACACCAAATCATATTTGTTATTCAATATTTATTGTACAGTTACAAGTGAATTGGAATAAAATCATATAGAAGCAGTGTTTATCATTTGATGATTAATTTTAATGAAGAACCGGTACGTATTTCATAGAGAATCAGTTCAAATATATACAACAAACAAACATTGATATTATATTTTCATTTTCTTATGTCCATTCAAAATATAACATAATTTTTATTGCATTTACTTATTGAATTTTATTGCATATAAACGTATCTTTTCAAAATTATTCTCTTAATTGCATTTATATGTATGCCAAGGATTTTGTAAGAATATATCAGATAGACTCTATATATTATAAAATCAAATGAAAAAAAAATTCTTTTTTAATTAAATGTATTATTAATAGTACTACAAATTAGATAAAAACATAGAAAAAATTTAATAAAAAATAATTACGATCATATATATACTTAGAGAATACGAGAAAAGATTTTAATCGTATACTATTTAAATACTGGTATATAAGATTTATACTTACATTTTCAATATTGATTAATATTCGACAAATTATAATCTGTTATTTAAATCAAACTGATTATAATGCAAAAATGCATATGTATTAAAATACATTAATTATTCAAATTTATTTTACTTCTTTATTGAAATTTACACATTTTGTTATTCTGAATTTTGTATCACTCAGATAATTATATATGAAAATCAGTAATTTATATATTATTCTCCCTTTATACTTACGTAATTTATGATTAAAAGTATTAAAAAATATTTAAAAATATAATATCATATTTGTACTAATTTAATATTATTATATCTAATATTTTAATTCGACAAAATTATTAAAATTATTTCTGAATAAATTAAAGAAAAATTAAATATTACAATTGAGTAAAATCAAGGGCTAATGAATATAAATAAACATTATTATTTTAATTTTTCATATTCAAATTATTTGCTTGAGAAATATTTTTACAATAATTTATAATTACATAAAAATTTTCTACCAATAAATTTCATTATACATTATTTATTTATTATTCTTCAATATTAGTTGATTGAAATACATTTTGATAAATAATTCTGTTATTTTCAATTCACATATTTTTTGTAAAAGCGTGAAGTATGTCACAATAAAAATAATATACAAATATGAATATGAAATTGTACAGATATTTAACTTATAAATTTATGTATGTAATGACGAAGGATTCGAGATATATAAATAAGAGAGTTGAAGGCAATGTGAGAAACAAGAAAAGCAACAGGATTTATGCAGTTTTTTATTTACTATGTATTGCATACGTATATATATATATATATATATATATATATATATATTAATATAAAAAGGTAAACAATTAAATATAATACATATTTTATGTAAATCGATATATAATTTCTCTTTATTGTCTTATACGTTTTGTTTTACTATTATTAAGCAATTAAATAATTGAAATATATATCAAGATTATTTAATATTATAGAAAATATATATGTTGTTTTTCATCATACTTAAATTGTATAATATTATAATTACTTATATTGTATAATATTTTAATAACAGTAATAATAATAATATTACTCATATCTTTTTATACGTAATTGAAGTATTTAACAAAAAAGTTCGTAAAATAATCTCATTTATTTTATATGATTATTGATAATAACAAACATGATCGACCTTTTTGCAGAAGCGCAAACCGGAAAATGATATTTTGTAAAAAATAATCATAATAATTAATTTAACTTTAGATTTATATTTACTTTGAACAATAAATCTATTTATTCTATATGACAAGTATTTTCTTCTAATGAATGAAATATTATAAAAAAAACAATATTGTTTAATAAACAAAGAAGTTTGCAATAATTTATTTTTAATTCAAAGTAATTAATTAAAAGTACTAATTATGTCTGAAATATTTCAAATTCACAATGTTTTAAATACATTAGTTTAATTTAAAATTTTAAAACTCTTAAATTCATGTAATTATTTATTTTCATGTATTCTTTATAAATAATTCTGTACTTTAAAACATTTTTACCGTCCACTAAAGTTAAATTGCATGTATAAAAATATTTAATTTTGTTGAATATTAATAAGAATAACGGGAAAATACAAACCTTAGCAACATTCACAGCAGTAACTTTAAAACTCAATAAGAGGTTAATTATTATTCAAAATTTATTAGTAAGAATAGTGAAAAATATATATTAATAAGTTACCATATAATAAAGTGAAGAGCAGTGTTTCAATTATGGCTACAATTCTTCGTAGTCTGAAATTTATAAAACCATTTAAAAATAATCTTACTTACAAGAAAATAAGTACTTCAAACTCAGTAAGTATAGGTAAATGTTTTGATGCAATTGTAATCAAGCAATATTTTATCGAACAGCCTATGTGATCGATTTTCTTTAAATTTGAAATAGGTATATTGAAATAGACTTGGCAAATATAAAATTTCACAATCTCGTTCATAGAGGCATTTTTAGCACATATTGTAGCATTATTTTTTAATATATAAATGTCAATAGCCAGCCGTTAAAAATCAGCCGAATCATGTTTCACCTCCGAATAAAACGTCACCAATCAATTGAACTAACATCGGTAAATGTAATTCGCCAGAATTCGCGCTACCATCTACGCATCGCCTTCCCAGAGAACTTTCAGAAAGTTTTCATCTTTATGCTGGAGACTTACTTCAAGACGGAACCGACCATCGTCAGTTTAGGCCTCGTCGGCAAATCATTGCCGATACTCATGTCCCTGATGCAGCAACATATCAGTCAAGGCCTGACGATTATCGCGGAGGACAGCTTGACGGGCTGCATCGCCGGTGCCGCTGTCAATACGAAAAGCGTCAACGGTGATCTGCAAAACCTCACGCAGCTCATCAACTGTTCCTCCGACGATGACCCCAGCCGTGAGCTCTTGAAGTTCTACGCGTACTGCTCACGAAAAGCCAATGTATCTCGCCTCACCGACAAGAACGTCGCGTTCGAGTGCTCCTACGTCGCTGTACACCCGGACCACCAACGCCAGAGCCTCGGCAAGCGTGTCATTGCCGAGAGTTGGATCCTCGCCCAAGAACTCGGCTTCGACCTCTTTAAGATCGACTGCACTAGCAGGTATACGGTGCCGAGGAAAATGTGTTGGAGCGATTTGGTAGAGCAGGTTGACTCGAATTTTTGAAATGCCTAAGCGATAGGAGTTCCGCAGATGCTTGTCTCCGCTCGTTAATGCATCCCCTTTCATTTTTCATAATCAGTCGACCTTATTCGCGCGTTTTTTTTTTTCTGCCTGGTATAGATTCACCGCGAACATTGCTGAAAAATTCGGCTGGACGTGCATTGAGACGATATCGTACCGCGACTATCGCGAGGACGGCAACATTGTGTTCCATAATGTGCAGCCTCCCCATACGGAGATGAAGATTTACGTCGACGATGTAATATACTTAGGTGGCTACTGTTCCGAGCGAATATAAGGCATAAATAAAAAGCTTGGAGAATTAAGGGGAATTTAATCATTGTCGCACGAGTGCTGAAATAACGGGGCGCACACGCGCGTATGCGTACTTTGATCTATTTTGCGCGGGGAAAGGGTTCACTACGGAGAGAAGAGTCTGACGTTATTTGCTTTAAGCTGCACAAGCTCGAGGACAGAGTAATTAAAGTTCGGAGCATCTCTCAGCGGTTTACTTCAATCTCTGCTGCCGCAATTGCGAGGCATGTTTGCGGAACGTACGGCAAACTCTCATCAATGCGAGGCGGTTCTCGGCTGTTCTTCTGTCCATTTCTTCGATGACTGCACCTTCACGTTTCCTCGGCATAACGCATCCACGACAAAAAAAAACAAAAAACAAAAAAAAAGAAACAAAAAAAATGGACTTTACCATCGCCAAGCAGGGATCGATTTCAAAAGCTCATATGACACTCGATGTTGTAAATTCGATAACTCGCCGCGAGTACGAATCAACTTGTCGCATATTTTTTCTCATATACACGTACATATATCTTTCTACCACATTGTCTTATGTACGTTTAACCATTTCCATTTAATCATCGTTGTTGGAAAAATACAAGTTCAGCGATAATTAATATAAAAATATCGTTGCAAAGAATAAAATGGAAATATTATATGAAATGACGATTTAAAAAAAAAAAATTATAGAGCTTTAAATAAATCTTTTCTACAAATTGAATTAAATTACATTAAATTTATAATTCGTATAATTAGAAAGTTAACAGAATAGTAAATTGAAAAGATTCTTCAAAAAAATTTTTTACATGATTTTTATTCAAATTCAAAATATACATTTGTGTTTGAATTAACTTTATGAATTAAGCAAATTCTTTCATCGACTCAATTCCTTAAGTTCGTGTAGCGGTATTTAAAAGCTGGAATGTGATTAAATGAATTAAGTTCAATTCAATCAATTAAGTCTATTTGAATATAAAAGTCGAAATTAAATAGTATTACATTTACAATTTTTGCATAGATGATGTCGTTATTATTGTAAAGATAATAATTGTAAATGTTTCTTTGGCATTATAAAAATTAATAAAAGCATCTCCGAAAGGTTCGATTTTGTAAAATGTTGTTAGAAGAGTTGCTAGTAAAATTAATTCGTACGGCTTAACTAATACTTACGGCTAAAATGAATAAAGTCTCTATATACGGTAATATTAGATATTTCATTTAAATTTTACGTTCGTCTAAATGTTTACTCAAACATTGTTGAAATAACATTTTTACCTCAATAGTTACTGTAATTAAATATAATTTGCTATTAGCGTCAAGACCCTTGCACAAGTTAATGTTGGCGCAATGAAAATTAATACATTTTTAGTAAAAAAAAATGTTAAGATTCGAGCTATGATAAATTAAATTACAAAAATATAATATACATTATTTATAGTATTAGAATTATATTTAATAATACATTTACCATCATTCGCTACTTTGCTTAATAATCTATTTATCATTATTTGATATATAATAACCGTAATATTTACTCGACTCGCTCACAGACTAACACTATCAATAAAATTTTGATAAGATAATGCGACACCGCTATACAAATATACCTATTGTAAATTAATTGTGCATATAATTTTTATTCAACTATTTACATAAATTTTCTAACATTCATCGAGATTATGGAGAATAAGAATTCCAGGATAAGATTTTAGATACGACTCGGAACATATATTTGTTAAGATGAATACAAATTTTTTTAGATTAGCATCCATCAAATTTTGACAAACTATAAAATAATAGTAATGTACATTTAAATTCATTTAAGTACGTTAATTTTTTGTAAATTTATTTTTCATGTTTTTATTATAATTTACTCTTATATGGTTTCTTTTACCACGGAAGTAATTACTCATTACGTCAACGCTAACGTTCATCGAGCCATGAAATATATGATAGGTTAAATCTACAATATTACTATGAAAGAATTGAATATCTTGTTGTAATTTTTATATTAGAAAAGATATTTTAAACATCTTTATTTCATAAAATATTATTATTACCATTATTTTATAATAATTAATGATTGTTTCAAGCTTATGGATTAAAAATTATAACAAAAAAAAAAAAACAAAAAAAAAAAAAACAGAAACGAACAAGACTTTACACTATCAAGAAATATGATTTAATGAATACATTTAAAACTTATATACATACTTTTAGTAATCTACTTATTGCATTGAAAAATTGACCCATTAATTCTTCAAATGATGAATAGATTCTGGACGACAAATTACGAACGTCATGATCAGATATTCGCTCTCCTTTAATATCTTCAACTATTTGAAGAATATATATTTTTATATATTTTTAATTTACATCTCTAAATATTTAAAAGTAGAATGTTATATATGAGTAGATAAAATTAATAATTCAATTATTATTTATTTAACAGGGAAAAATATTAAGATACCATAGTCAAAATATTTAATATGGAATAATATTTAAATGCCTTGATATTTGATGTATAACGACTTACAATTTATGTTCAGTACATTTAGGACATATTTCCGAAGAAAATTTATTTCTAGTCAATATAAATGCAACAAATTATTTTTCTAGCATCAAAAATAAAATTTAAGTTTTTTTTTTCATTAATATTACCAATTATAGTAATTCGGAATATTTAAAATAAATGCTTGATTAATAACGGCAATATTAACATTTTTTTTAATTAAAGTATTCTAAATCTCATGAATAAAAGAATTTAAATATATATATATATATATATATTCCATTTAAATGCTGTAATTCTAGGAATTTATATTTGAAATAATATTAAAAAAATATTTAACAGATTAAGACGCTATGAGCATGTATAATTTTATTTAGCCTAACGTTAGTAATTATAATTCTCGATAAATATATTAAAATACTTTTATTTCTGTGACATTTAATGAATATTTAGCCAAGATGATATTAATTTGTATTTAACATTTTAATCTTGCTAAATTGTGTAGACTCAGAATTCTTAAAAGACTTTTTAAAAATTCATGTAGAATTATTAAAAAAAGAAAACTGCAAGAAATTATTGGTATTTATGAAATGGTAAACTTGTGATGTTGTTTACTGCTATTCATTATTAATCAACTTAATATGTAAAAATATATACTTTCTATAAATAATATCAGAAAAATATGAGAAAAGTAAAAAATATTGTTTAAAATATAAAATTTTATCTCTATCCTTATATAAACTAATGTGAAAATTTAAGTTCATTAAGATTAAGCTAATCAATCTGATCTTTCAAATAATTAAAAGAAATATATATTTATATTCGCATTAACAATAACATTTCCTTAATAACTAAATTATTCGATGATGTTTCATATTGTGACAATTATCGCTAACAATCAAATAAAATATTTTATAAAACAGTCATAGAATTTAATTAAAAATGTCTGCCTTTAATTATATTTCCAATAGGCGGAGGAACATGTTTCTGCTTGTTCGAAACTCGTTTAACAAGCAGTCTTATACGTAATTATAAACGTAGCCGTATATACTCGTACACATTTGCTTGATAATTTGAATAAAACTGCAAGGTGCGTGATTTAAATGGAATCATCCCAGAAGAATTTTAAAGTTTGCATAATAGATGAAGAAAAAGAAATTATTTCGGTGGTGGGGTGAGAGACGAAAAAATAAGATAGAGTAAAAGAACGCACACGAACTTTTAAGAGAGAGAGAGAGAGAGAGAGAGAGAGAGAGAGTGTGTTTGTGAGAAAGTGAGGGAGGGAGGGAGGGAGGGAGGGAGAGAATGTGAGTAAGAAACTGTAGTAAGAAAGATACGAGAAAATGAACAGTGCAATAATGAGAGGACGACGGTGGTTTAGCGAAATGACCGGTGTCGTTGGTTGTCCGGCACGAACCGTAAGGCGACAAAATTCAATTCTTTCGCCTGTTAGTACTGTTCGCTACACCTGCGACTTGCGAGACATCTGGTGAAACTGACTCGAGGTTTACATTTCGACGAGTCGTCTACTTATCCTTTATCCTTCTTCCCTTTCTTTTTACTTTCTTCATTTACTGGTCTCACGCTGAAACGCCACGGCTTATCATCAAAAAGGAACAAAGTCTTGTTTCTGCCTTTGTCCCTTGTCTCTTTCATTTCTCTTAAGCCCTTTGGAAAATTTGCCTAATTACCAACTGAAAAATTTACCGCCCCACTCGCCTAACGAATTCAAGCAGCTCATTACATCGTCATTATGGCTGACCATATTTTCTAATGATAATATTAGCCCAAAAATTCAACCAGAAAACGACTCTGTTGATTTTGCAAATGTATATTTGCACATAATATAAAATGCGCAACGTTGATGAACAATATAAAATGCTAAAATATATAAATATATACCGAAGGATCTATAAGGTTTTCTTGGAAATGGGCTCTAGGGTTACTAAATCATTCATAAATAATGTGGATGAGTTTTCAAAATAATTTCATTTTTACATTAATTTTGCGGGAAAATACGTTCGATATATATTAATTATACAACAATCGCGATCTATTAATTTTTTATACGTATATTTCTCGGGCAAATAATTTCGTTTTTTTTCTTTCGAGGCTTCATTACAACTACTTTCTAGCCAAAAACAAAAGATCATAAAAGCATCTTGTTATTAATAAATTAGTTGAAGTTACTTTTTAAATCCAACGCAAATATTATGTTATATAATAAATAATGTTTGAATATTTAAGAACTAAAAAAATATTCATATAATATCATTGAATTTTTATTAAAGCTTTGCGAACTCCTACATTTTTTTTTTATTAGCATATTGACTTCGTTATCGCAATGGGTACTAAAAGAAATTTTAATTACCAAAATTTTATATAAAACAACATTTTTATTAAAGTACTTTCGTTATAAATTTCATTATTTAATTTATTTTTCAAATCCTTTCATTATAATAAAGAGTGAAATAAACAAGATTTAGACTAAAACGCGAGCATTTACTTCCTCCTCTATTTAATCGTAAGTAATACGAAACTTCGAGTCAAACAGAATTATTATAATGTTAATTTCAGTTTTATATTAACACAATTTTTTTAAAATATGAATTATATTATCCATTGATTTATATGAAAATTATATTATATTCGAATTTATAATCATCATTTAATTTTTAGCTTTTAAATTTATTATTAAACATCGATTTTACCAAAAACACAAAATATTAATTACAATTAAAATATTAATAATAAAAATAATTTTCCATTAACTTAATCTGATTTTCAATTAAAAATTTTTTTTCCATAACTAATGCTATATCTACTTGTGCACATGAAACAGATTAATAATTTTGCTATTTATATATATTAATTTAAACTTACACAGTTATTTGAGCTTAATTATGTAGTGCTTTTTCAGAATTTGTTCTTTATTATATTTATAACAATATAGACGGAATTCTGAATGTTGACAAAATTAATGACATAGATTTATCAGTAAAATGGGATATTCAATATTATTCACGCTTATTACCAAACTCTGACATCATCCTGTAGATAAAAAAAAATTAATAGTGAAATAATATGATACTTTTGATAAGGGAAAAACTCAATACTTGGGAATGTTATAACTCGTAGAGATATTTTTCGCTATCCGTAATGTACGGTGACTCGGACAGTGACAATAGTTTCTATTATATGGACATGGTAGCTCCTTGTTACGGTTGTCACTTATGAAGCTTCTGGCAGTCAACGATAAAGCATCTTTTTTCAACAAGCACATGCGGATGTTGTATTATGTCCCCTATGAGAGTCCGCACATAGTATTATCGAACCGCCTGGAGAATTTCTATTTACAAATCTCGGCGTGGCTTTAATGCCAGCGTAAATAATTTCATCGCACCAAAATAAAAAATAATGCTCTTGATATATCGATTGCGATAATGGATATTGCATATGGGATAAATGGCAGGGATTCCGCGTTTATGAAAAAATAACCAAATTCATACGTTTCTTTAATAAAAAGCTACTTTAATGCACATCGATAAAAAAAAAAAAAAAAAAAAAAAAAAACAAAAAAAAAAAAAAAAAAAAAAAAAAAAAAAAAAAAAAAAAAAAAAAAGAAGAAGAAGAAGGAAAGAATAAAAATGTATTTCACAGTAAATATCGCATTGACAAAGGAACTTAAATGCAATCTAAGTCTTAAATTAAATATGACATAAACGCATTTCTCGATAACTGTATATTGGTAGTATAAAGCTTAGAAAATATCAACACAAGAGTCAATAAAGATTGTTTCTCAACGTCGATGAGCGAGAGTAGTACAGCTTGTAGGGCCGCGAAGTATTCGTGCGGATCAATGTCCCTTCTTATGGTGCCAATGTTTATGATCCTCGTGGCCGCCCTTCTTACCGTAGCCTTGATGATGATGGTGGTGCTCGTGATGTCCGCCCTCCTTCTTGTGCCCCTTGTGATCGTGATGGTGATGTCCCTTCTCGTGGTGACCCTTCTTCCCGTGATGACCGTCGTGGTGCCCCTTATGGTGATGGCCCTTTTTGTGGTGCCCGCCCTTCTTGTGATGGTGCTCGTGGTGATGGCCCCCGTGGTCCTCGTGGTGGCCGTGATCGTGGTGCTCGTCGTAAAATTCCTTGTCCTTTTTGAACTCGTCGAGCTTGTGGACCTCGTGATGGCCCTTGGTGCTGTGGCCCTTACCAAAGTGGCCCTTCTCGTGGAACTTGTGACCCTTCTCGCCCTTCTCGCCCTTGTGATGCTCGTGATGGTATCCGTCGTCGTGATGGTGGTGCTTCTTATGACCGCCCTCCTCGTCGTAATGGTGATGGTGGCCCTCCTTATCGTGATGGCCCTTCTCGCCCTTGTGATGCTCGTGATGATTCTTGTATCCCTTGTGGCCCTTGTCACCGTGCTCGTGATGATGATCCTCGTGCGACTCCCCGCCGTGGCCCTCCTCGTTATGATGGCCCTTATGGTGCGAGGCTGCCGTCTCAAGGTCCAGGAGCTTATCGGACAGCTGGGCCGTGATAACCTCACCGAGCTTCGCGACACCGCGACCTGCGACCCGAAGCTCCGGACTCGCGAGTAGCGCGAGGCCCACTCCTAGCATCCACCTCGCCACCCGGATCCTCATCGCTGATTTTATCTATGGAAACGAGTCGCTCAACTCACTGCTCGAGCGCCAATCGCTTTATGCACCAGCCACCTCGATATGCGCTCGATTATATATATCGCTATCTGCCAAGACATTTTGCTGTAATATTAGGGAAGCCGTTCGTCTTTCTTTTGTCTTTCGCTTCTCAGTCAGTTGGCCAGCCGTCGCCGACCGAGCTGATCGCCCGTTACGCAAACGGCGTCTCCTTAACCTGCTTAAAATCTTACACAGCCGTCACCGCCACGCCAGGTTAGCACGCCCGGTGCCCACACTTATGCAACTTGACTTGGAAATCGTCGATCTTGCTCAAACTCACCCGCATTTCTCACGATTTCACTATTTTTTTTTTTTTTTTTTTTTTTTTTTTTTTTTTTGCAAATGACAAGTCGCTTTTCAATAGTGCAATGTTTGTTGTTCGTGAATTATCAAATAATAAATGTTGGGGTTGCGAGGCGCCTCCTCGACTTATTGCCCAAAGGCCCATTCAGCATCCGCGCCTCTAATCCAACATCGACGTGGCGCTCGGATGTTTCGACGGTTAGTCGCCGGTGTAAATCATTTATTTCATTTCTCATTTATGCTCTAATGAGAACTCGGACTTTGGGATGCGTTCGTCACTTGTTGCGAAGAGGGCCGTACTAATTAATATATCGTCAAATGGCCACGTAAACGTAAGACGTAAGAGCAAGAAATTTCGGAAGGAATATTCTACTTTGCCCTTCCTTTACATCAACAGTTAATAATGAAACTTTATCGTCTCGTTTCGTTCATTTCGCCACTTGCGCATGAAAATAAATAAAAAAATTACACCTCGTAATATACTTAAGATATAATCGAAATCCCGTAGCATTTGTATTTACAGTAGCGAATGATTGACTGGTAACTCAATGTCTATTATTAAGAATTTTTTAAATCATAAATACGTTTAAAGATGCTTTATGGTAAGTAATTTTTTTTTTCTTTTTTTGTTTTACATTATTAAAATTATATAATTTAATTTCATAAGCTCTATAAATTCTTCGACTTAATTATGCAAGATTGATAAGAGCGCGCTTTAGTTAAATAAATATATAAATTATATATATATATATATATATATATATACGCGCGCGCGCGCACGCACGCATACTAGACAACGTAGTCTGTTGTTAAAAAGCAAACATATTTTTCGACTTCAACTTATAATAACTTTAAGAGATAATTTAGAATGAAATAATACTTTTTGAATTTGATAAGTACGATAGTGCTAATCGTTATAATATTGTCTAATAAGAGAGGGCCTGGGTGAGCGGCGAGTGCACGGCTATTTGCACGAAACCATAGGATTAGGAAATAATAATAATAATAATAATAATAATAATGAGAATAATAATAATAAGTAGAAGAATGGTACATATAAAATTATTTGTTGATTTATTATAAGAATATACAAGAATGAAATAAGAGCGTAAGAAAGATGTGTGTGAAAAGGAGGTAAAGTTATGTAATCGTGGCACTTTAGTGGTGATTGCAAGTCATCCTCGTCATCCTCGAGTCTATCCCTTTTTATAATGATGCTTCTTCCCGTGATGATGTCCACCCTTCTTCTCGTGCTTCTCGTGATGACCGTGATGCTCTTCGTGTCCGTGCTTGCCGTGATGACCTTTATGGTCTTCGTCGTGGTGTCCCTTGGACGCGTGACCCTTCTTGCCCTTGTGACCCTCGTGATGGCCCTTGTGATGGTGTCCGCCCTTCTTGTGGTGTCCTTCTTTGCTGCCGTGATGCCCGTGGTGATGTCCGTGCTTCTCGTGGTGGCCGCCCTTATGGTAGTCGTCGTAGAACTTGTGCTCCTTGTGATACTCGTCCTTGTGCACCTTGTGGTGGTAGCCACTGGTCTTGTGGCCCTTCTTATGGCCTTTCTTCTCCCCGAACTTGCCGCCCTTGTGGCCCTTCTTCTCCTCGTGGTGCTCGCCGTGCTCGCCCTCTTCGTCGTGGTGATGCTTGTGATGCCCACCGTGCTCCTCGTGATGGCCTTCGTGATGGTCCTTGTCGTGCTCCCCGTGCTCGCCCTTGTCGTGGTGATGGTGGCTCTTGTGGCCCTTATGACCCTTCTCCCCGTGCTCCTCGTGATGATGGTGGTGGTGCTCCTTGCCGCCTTCCTCCTCCGAGTGGTGCCCCTTATGGTGGCTGGCGGCGACCTCTAAGTCCCGAGCGGGACCCACCTCCCTCGCGAGGCCCACGGCGCACAGGCACAGGACCAGCAGCAGCAGCGGCAGCAGCGGCAGCGGCAGCGGCGCCGGCGGCAGCCCCCGGCGGCTTCGAGCGTCGGCCATCCTCCAAGTCCCATAAGCAACGCTCGACTCGTCCGAACTTGGTCGCCTCCTGACTATTTATAGTCGATCTTTTTCTCCGGGTCGGATTTAATCGGAAGAACAGCGCTGGAATCATATGACCGTTCATGCGAGCAATTCGATTCCCCGCCGGAGCCTGCACGTATTTCCATCTTTTTGCCATCGCGGAGAAAGTCCAAGAACCGAAGCGTATCAAACCGATTCTCCCATTCGCGTAACTATCTATTTAGATAACCGAACGCAACTATTGAAATCCCTGCCACTCGCCTCGTCTGTTCAAATCAAGTCTTTTTTCCTTTTTAACTGAGATAGGATAAGGCAAGTCGTTCCGAGCTATTGATATTGATGCTGCGCTTTGAGCGCGTTAACACAAAGCCCAGAGAGTTGCCACGAAGCTGCAGGTGCTAGGAAAATCGCGTCCAACCATATTCGATTAGTCCATGTGACACAATAAACTATGTATCAACATATAGTATCAGCTTATTTTTCATCGCTGCTCATTTAAATTACAAACAAAGAGGCGCTCGTTATGTGATGTCGATAATGATAAAAACGAAATCTAGAAATGCGTTCGTTCGCATTTCCAGAAAAAAAAAAAAAAAAAAAATGGGGATAAAGTTGGATAAAAACTTTCGAGAATGATTGCAAAAAAACTAACAAGATTAAACAAAAGAATCATAGATCTAAACAATACTTTATTATCTCTTTCTACGTTATTCCATTGGAGCTCGAGTATTTATGAGTTTTGTATTTTTTTTTCTCACCTTGTAGTAGATTAATTTTCTTTCTGAACTGTATGCGTATAATGCTGCTTTGAAAATAATCTCCTAATATTAATTTATATTTTTATATGTCATCAATTGTGTAATAAAAAAGTAATATAACGGCACTAATATTGATTTTTAAACCCAATAAATTGTTTCAAATTGGCATAACGTTTGATAACCATATTTCGATCCTCCTCTAACTACCCCACCCCTCCCATCATCCTTCTCTATCCATTTCTCTCTCTCTCTCTCTCTCTCTCTCTCTCTCTCTCTCTAGTCACCCCCCCCCACACACACACACACACGCACACACACAACACAACACAACACACGCTTACCACTTCTCACTCCCTCGGTCCCTCTATCTCCTTCTCTTTATACATATATATTTGACGAGAAAATAAAATTTTGCCTTCGTATTCTAACGTCTAATACAACTCTATTTCCACTGGAAATAATTACAAACTCGATTGTATTTTATCTTGTTACAAAAACTACTAATCAAAATCAATATTCGTGTTATTTCGAACTATCTTTCAAAAAATAATATCATTTATCAAGGGCGCTATGACAAATAACGACCATTTATTCGGAGCTTTCTGACAATTGCACACTTAAACGCAGCGACAAAACATGGGACGTGAAAAAAAAGAGTAAATAAAAAAATAAAAAAAAAAAGAAGACAAAGACGAACTGTCGCTAAATCTCTCGGTGAGTATTACGGAAAGGTCCTCGTCGTTGGTACCCGGAATATCGATTATTTTTCTTGCGCAAATGAAAACAAATGAAATTAGAGGCCGGTCAGCCAGCCAGCCCCAGCCCCAGCCACGGAGCAAGAAAAATCGCGTAAAATTTTACACGCTGCAACTCGTGACCCGCATTTTACTCACGATGTATCCGGTAAAAATTCACGCGAAGAAGGAGGGTTGTTGTTGGTAGCCCAAAATACATCGCAATTTTGGGGGCGAAAGTCGAGGGCTATGCGAAACTTCCGCGGAAAATTTTGGATTCGACCGAACGGCATCGCTCCGCTCGGCTCTTTGTTGTCAAGCATTTTTTCCGTGTATTTTTTCGCCTACCATATTCGCCTTTCGGATAGCGATTATTCCAATCAGCTTTGCGTCAGCTGCGGTCATACGCGTTTGCGCGCGGCGGAGATAGATTTTTAGCGCGCGCCTTTTATAATGGGATTTCCAAATACAAGCGTCGACAAGCCAGTCACGTAGCTTCGTTACAAATTCTCCGAGGCACCCGCCTATAACGCACATAACGACGTTATACACTTTGCTCGGACTCCAAAAGACTCGGGACCGGCGACCGTCTCTATTCTTTTCTTCTCTCTAATCAGAGCGCGGCTGCACGCACACCCGAAAGACAAACTGTACGTCGCCAATTTCGTCCTGGACTTTTTCCCTTACGTCTATAATAGAGGTATATAATAGAGGTGCCGATGATGGATAATGCCGATATGAAGAAAATGGCGAACTCTCGGATTAATCCGGCCGCGCAGATTGAATAGATTAAAGGAGAAGCGCGAATGAAGCAGATGCAAAGCATTCTGCCTAACGTCTTTCCTTTTACCAACAAACTTGCACCACTTGTATAATGATAAAGCCTTATTATTATTTTACCTAATAGCGCCAAACTTAATCTCGTTACGTAATATGCGAATATAATATTTGAACGGTGTGTCCGACGGTAAGAAATTATAAATCATCGACTCGGATTATTGTAAATTGAAAATATCGCTAAAAGAAACTCGAGGAAATAGCGAGACAATGAGTAATCCGCCAAAAGTAGAAAAAAAAAATTAGACTATTTATTCGCTAATATCAATATCTTACTTATTTATTCAAGGGAGACTTTTTAAATTAGCAATATCGAGTGTAAATTGAAGCTGGCAGCGAAAGGAATCGGGACCGTCATTTTTATTTCTGTTCGCACGAGTCGGCCGAACCAGTAGTATAACCAATCTTTGTCGCGATTATGCTGTGCAAATACGAGAGCGTACCAATTTAAAGACAGAATCACTGCCAAATACGGCATAAAAAAAGAAAGAAAGAAAGAAAGAAAGAAAGAAAAAAAGTGAAAAAAGAATAAAGAAAGAAAGATACGAAGAAGCATATTTTTCCGAACATTTTTCTGCTTTTAGGCACTTCTTAAGCCCTTACTTCTGTAACATAATTTCAATTGTAGTTTCAGAAAAATTTATGAATTTCGAAATTACGAAATTACGGGTTCATCAATTTTATAATATATAAAGTACTATCTCATTGAAATACGTATAATTATAAAATATGCCATGCTTATATCTACTTAGCATTAAAAATTCATGATATGCTATTAATGCATCACATAAATTGAGTAATAAAAAATAATCTTACTTAATCAGTTAAATAGGGTAATAAACCGACATACCCTTATATTCTTCGATATTTTATTTTTACTATCCAATGTAACACATTAAAAACTTTACAATTTCTATAATTATCCGAATAAACTATAATACGGAAATAACTATTATAACGGGCATTTAGTTTATTGCTATTCCAAAATCCCCATAAAATTCACAGAACGACTTAAATTCTTCAAGAAAGAAAGCACGATAATTTGTGTATATTCTTTGTGAATATGTGAATATGTGGATATATAATCCGAAGCATAATCATTTCATTAGAAGATTGTGATCGCAAACGTAACTGGTACATGCGTGCCAATGGTATTCTTCGTTCATTCCAGCTTATAAACAAAGAAGCTGTGAAGGATTTTGCGCTTTTAATGGCTTCCTCGTATAAACTATGCCGATACTGCAAATACCAAACTGCTGTGTAATAAATGTTTATAAATCATTTAACTTTCTCCTATAATAAGAGGACTTTATATTTCGAAACTTTTAACACGTGTTTAGCTAATTATTGCGGCTACATTTAACATTATCACAAGTATTTATTAACATTTATATTATAATGCAGTTACAAAGCTCTTAATAGCTATTATATTTTTCAATTGAGTGACTATCTTATCCATCTATCCGCTATTATCGTCATTAATATTCGTAAAATTTCGTAAAATAATCATCCTATTGAATAACAGCTTCAAAAATATAGAATCTTATGAACGAAGAATTAGTGCTTATTTAATTTAATGTGCAAATACATTAGAAAAATTCACTGTCATTTCACAGTATCCTTCCGATTTCAAACCGTTTAAATTGATTCAACTCACTTTGCATATTCATATCCTTTAAGAAATAAATTCATTAAAATTATGACTAATGAATACGCTCTAAAATACATAATATTTCATAGTCGGATAGGAATTTGTCTTACTTATATAATTAAATACATGATTAAATATTACTTAACGTTATTTTTTATCAGTATCATTATTTATTGTATAACGGAAATATTTACTTTTGAAATATAATTTTAATTTGTATCAACTTCCATTAATTATGAACTTTTTCATTTACATATTTTTTTCTTTTTACGCATCTTAATCATAAAGAATTATATAGTAATTAATTTTGTTATTTTTCAAATATTTCCTATACAACGAATGCGTTACAGACATTCTATCAATCTTTATCTCATGATCATACGTTTTAAGGAAAATCTCAAATACTATAACGAGTATTAATATATAAAGCATTAAAAAAAATTATGTATAAGAAGGCAAGGAATGGTCCATTTTTTGCATGCAACGGTATAGATTACTTTTATTACGAATTCATGATATCATTTCATACAAAACATTTTTTATTAGTTTTTTAATTTCTGTAATGATAAACCATCAAATCAAATTACATTTCATACAGCTGAATTTATTATAATAATAATTTGAAATGTTTGTATGAAAAAGAAAAAATAAAAATAATAATAATATTTGGTGCATAGAAAAATTCAAGTGAATTTTCGTATATTTTGAATTAAAACATCGTGTAGTTAAAATTTATCAATTACGTAAAATAATATTGATAAAGTAATTAGTTGTAATGTATGACATTACTACAAAATTGTACTCGGCATATAATAATAAATCAAGTTTTGTATATCCAAACTTAGTGGAATACAAGACATATTTCGAAAGACAAGCAAAACATAATATATTATTTCATGAATATTGTTACCAATTTATTTGTACATAATCGGTATATCCAATAAAAAATGAAAATTAGACAATTATGTCACAATTATACCTTCATTTTTCATTAACTGTAAAAGAAAAGGACCTTGAATTTCTTGAAGCTGGAAATACGTTACGTAATAAATATTTCAAAGTGTGTAATATTTCATCATAAAATAATTTAACCAAAATTTTCTCGTAATTTTTATATTACGAATGTATGTTTTTCATTTAAAATAATAAAATCCATAATTATTATTTAATAACTGCATACTGATGTTCATTATTATGTTTTTCTATAAAATATGGACGGTAAAGTAGGATGACAATCTGTCATTGAAAAATTATACCAACGATTGTGTTGTATAAACTGTAATGATGCTGTTATTGTTAAAATTTATATATTATAAATATTATCTGTTGCATAATATTCTTGCCTATGATTGTATTTATATATTATATAATATATTATTGCATAAAATTTTTTTCTTAATAATAAATGATATGCTGCCGTTAAATAGTAAGGTGTATAATAAAAATTAATATTACCGGTTTAGTGAATATTTATTTATTGTAATTTTGTTGTGGAAATGAAAATTATTTTAATCTATCGATGATTAAATAAATTCAAACGCTAAATTGTGTTATAATGTTTTATTTACAATTTTGTTAAATATTTTATAAAAAATTTTCTAATATCATCAAGTAATAAATGATCGTTATTGATTACAATATAATCTATTAATTATACACGTATAAAATGTTTTTATAATTTGACTCAATTTATCCCTATTGAAAGCTTATTTATTAAAAATCATCATCATTTAAGGTATAATATTGATATACAATATAACAATGTATTTGTTTCTCCTATTATTTTTAGAGAATAATATAGATTCTTCAAAGTGCTAGATGATTCAAAATATTTTAATTCGTTAAAACTGTAGATTAGTATATTATATGTTCCACATTATTGACAATTCTTAATTATTAATTTTAATCTTATTTGAAATGCTGTTTAAACACATATCTTCTTACAAATGTCAAAAAAATGATAACATTATACAATAACATTAAGAATGCATCCAAATATTTAAAACATATTCTTAATTGCATCAAATTCTACTGTGAAGTGCTTATTCTACGTGAACTTATTACTATAATTAAACTATAATGAAAATGTAGAATTCTAAATACTGTTATAATTATATATATATATAGTATTTTTCATGAAAAAATAAAATAAATTCATGTATATAGAAAAGTTAATAATATCAAATGAAAATTATACAATACACCATTTATAATAAATGAATAATTTAGAGGTAAGTAAATAGCAATTAATTACTTGAATAATTAATCGTAAATATTAATTTGTAAATAATCTATTGTCATATGTATGTTTTATTACAATTTCTATTCAAATTAGATGTACATTATAAAATTAATAAATTTGTTGAAAACTAATTCTCTTAAACTATAAAGAAAATAATGTTAGAACTATTATTATAACTATCAAAAGTAATTCTAAAGTTTTTCATGAGAATATTTAATATTTTTTTTCAACACAAATGAAATTGTTTTGTGTGAATTTAATATTGCTGAAGAGTTTCACTCATGGATTTTCCATCAAGTCGGAATGTTGAAACTTTATTTTATGTAAATGCTTGGTAAAATCAATGTATTGAAGCGCAGCGCAGAATTAAAACTTATCCGAAATCGAAGTTTAAAGCAAATAAGGGAGTAAAGCCAAAATAAATTGAAAAGTCAGATGTTAATATAATAAGCAACTGGAGAGAACTTCCCAACTGACGACGATTAACCATAATTATCGCACGCAATTAACGGGCCGAATGCCGTGGCTCATTTTATTGCATTGCGGTGGCACAGACCGCGCGAAACTTTACTCGTTATAAACCATTACAACAAACGCCAACATGGACGCTGGACAACTGCCGATGTGAAATTCGTGAAGCTATTTTTCAAGTGCACTGGCACTCATTGTACGCAATAAATTTGACTATACATTGTCGTGAAATTTTGAAAATTCTTTAGTTTAAAGGAAAAGCAATTGCTATTAGGATACTTGCTTGTAAGCCAACCGACTGTTAATATATTTCACTTACAAATTACGCATACATACCTTTTAATATTTATGCAATTCATTTGTTGTTTAGCATCTAACGCAGCCATATTATATGACTTGTTTTTCTTTTTTTTTAACGATTATACTGTTGTATTATTATCATTATTATATGTTTTATGTTGTAATGACAAAATTATGAAAATCGTGTAAATGCCGTTTTCGTTGATTTAACCATTGTGATCTTTACATTTATATATCTTATCCACGATTTCAATAATATGAAACTAAAAACTTTAACTAATTTCATCATTTAAGGATTTGTACGTATTACGATTATTCTTAAAAGAATTACTGAATTTTTAATGTTTAGATATTTTGTTTATATATTTTTAACAAAATAATATATTATTTATGAAATTATTTATTTTTATTATAATTGAAGTTGATTTATAAATTTATAGATTATTTATTTGAATCCGATTTATGTGTAACAGTATTTTATTATGATTAAAATACAATGAAGACAAGCTGTATTCAAATTTTTAAAATGCATGGGATGCATTATTTTTATGCAAGTTTGCACAGTTAAAATGCAAACTTTATTTGCAAGCAGTCGTGCCCAGTTAAAAAAAATCTGAATTCATCATTAATTTTTCATATGGATGACATGCAACTCATATTATTTATGGAGAAAATTAAATAATTCAATTATCATAAAATTTTTTTGAATACATTAATAACATACATTTGCTATTAATAATAAAAAATATTTGTTTTTGACTCGTTTTCTTTCTTACCTTTCTGTTCTATTACATTATATAGCTTTTAAAAAATTTCAAAATTTGTATAGTATATTTCAATAACGTACAATTAAGTTATATGTAATATAATTAGCTGAAAGCTATCAATTCTGAAATACTAGTAGAATAAATGTATTGATTTAAATCATGTTAATTATTCAGAAAAAGTATTATAAATATTCTTAAAAATCCTATCAATTTATTATAGAATAATTATATTAAAATAGTCAAGAAATAAAATACATTACTTTACTTAAGCAATTATTAGATTATAAAAGTACATGTAAAAGTTAATCAAGTGATTAAAAAATAAGTGATTAAAAAACTAACTCTATTGCTTGTTCAATATGTACTGATGAAGAAAGTTAAAAAATATATAATACTAATAACAAGAAAAACTAACATGTTTTGTTTCGAATGTTTAGCAACACATTAATTACAGCTATGAAATTCAAAATAATACGTACGTTTAAATCATGTAAATTAACAAAAATACTTTAACAAAAAAACTTCTTTAAAGTGATTTTATTTTCGTTGATTGTACAAATTAGTAATAGTTAAAAAAAAAAATAATAATAAAATTAACCTTTTTCATGAACTACGACTAAGGAGATTGCTTATGCGATGTCATAATGATCATTATTATATTGTTATTATCAGCAACTAAAGTATCCTAGTATAATTGTTTAAATAGTTTGTAGTGAAGTTTGGTTTTTCGGATTGAAAAATAATTTTTATTATTACTATTATTGTTGTTGTTGTTGTTGTTGTTGTTGTTGTTGTTGTTGTTGTTGTTGTTGTTGTTGTTGTTGTTGTTGTTGTTGTTGTTGTTGTTGTTGTTGTTGTTGTTGTTGTTGTTGTTGTTGTTGTTGTTGTTGTTGTTGTTGTTGTTGTTGTTGTTGTTGTTGTTGTTGTTGTTGTTGTTGTTGTTGTTGTTGTTGTTGTTGTTGTTGTTGTTGTTGTTGTTGTTGTTGTTGTTGTTGTTGTTGTTGTTGTTGTTGTTGTTGTTGTTGTTGTTGTTGTTGTTGTTGTTGTTGTTGTTGTTGTTGTTGTTGTTGTTGTTGTTGTTGTTGTTGTTGTTGTTGTTGTTGTTGTTGTTGTTGTTGTTGTTGTTGTTGTTGTTGTTGTTGTTGTTGTTGTTGTTGTTGTTGTTGTTGTTGTTGTTGTTGTTGTTGTTGTTGTTGTTGTTGTTGTTGTTGTTGTTGTTGTTGTTGTTGTTGTTGTTGTTGTTGTTGTTGTTGTTGTTGTTGTTGTTGTTGTTGTTGTTGTTGTTGTTGTTGTTGTTGTTGTTGTTGTTGTTGTTGTTGTTGCTGTTATTTAATTATTATTTACAATTCTCAATAAGATCAATTTTCACATTCATTGAAAGATGACAGAAATTTTGATTTATGATTATAAGTCACTTAATAGTTAGGAGACAAAATACTCTATTACGGAGAAAAATGCAATAATCGATAATCAAGTCGAAATTACATGGTAAATTGGTAAATTATAATAAAAGGTATAAGGACAAAATCAAAGAGATGATAAAGGACAACGTAAATCGTCGGCAAACCTGTAAGATTAATATTTTATATATCGCGTGACTAAAATGCTTTTTTAACCCGCGAGACAAATTCGTGCGCAATCCCTACAAATTTTCGCGGCTATCGCGTGCGCGCTTGTAACGACGGAGCTCCTGCGTGCCACGTAATTTACCCTTCGACCCGACGATACTGTCAGTGAGCAGCTAATGTGTTGGCATTATCAAGAGGTACACGAAACACGGCCGATAATTGTTGTCGCTATATTTTTCGGCGGCTCGCTCCGCTCGGCTGATGCAGTGAAACAATAACACGGCACTTACAAATGGGAAGTTGGCGATTTATTGAATAGAGCATGATGTACAGTGTGTATGTCTGTATGCATAAATGCATGTACGAGCCTTAAATATCATTAAATAGCTTAAATAGTAGATGCTGGCAAGATCACGGCTATCCTTATCAGTAGTAGGACTCTCCGTCGTCCTCCTCGTTCGAGGATTCGCCGCCAGACGAGTAAGATTCCGCGGAGCCGCTGTCGTAGCCGTCCCCGTCGCTCGAGGAGTATGACTCGCTGTAACTGTCGCTTTCGCCCTCGTCTCCAGAATAATGCCCACTATCCCCACCATCGCTGTATTCGGAATGGTCGCCTTCGCCATCGTCTGCATAGTGGGTTTCGACATCGGTACCTATGACACGCAGAGCAACGTTAGCCATATTTGCTTGGATGAATTGCTCAATAATTGACGGAGCGAGCAAAGAGGAACTTTGGCAGTTTCATCTTCTAGATAGGAATGTATATATATATATATATATATATACATTTATATATAGATAGTTAGATGGATAGATAGATAAATAGATAGATCGATCGATAGATGGATGGATAGATAGATAGGTAGATAGAGAAATAGATAGATGTATAGATAGAAAGATAGAGAAAGAGACCTGATGAGAGGACGATAGAAAGTCGATAGCGTACCGGCCCCTTCGTGATCGGTGTTGTGATTGTGCTTCGTCGAAGCGGACTTGTCCTCCTGCTTCTCTTCTTCCTTATCGGAAGCCTTGCCAAAGGCCTCGTGTTCCTCGAAACCATAGCGGTCGCCGAGCTTTTTATGGAATGTATCGAGAGTCTTGTAGCCGTGGTCGCCCTTGCTGAAGGTCTTCTTCAAGTAGCCCTTCTCGCCATCGGCGTCACTACCGTAAGTCTTGTAAAATCCGCCCTCGTTGGACTTACCTGCTTGTACATACAAAATCCAGGGTAAATACAATTGCGAGCACGTCGCTTGCCTTCGCCAATACTCCCAACGATATCCGAGCATTAGCTAGGTTCGGCTGTGTCGATTCGGTCCTAACATCACCCGTCCCCTGTCGTATTTAACCGTATCCCTTGCCGTCCAAAGCGTTAAAGGAAGCAAGAGACGAGATCGAAAGTGAACGAAATGTCGCGTCGCGCCCGAATGAAGAGAATCCGAGTACTAAGCGTACGCATCAAGTAAAAGCGGAGGGAGGAGATCGACGAATAGTACCGAATCGTACAACCTCGAACGAACCGGACGAATTCTTAATGTGCTTATTGTCGTGGGACGTTTTCTTGGGCACGTTGCTCGAGGAGAGGAGATCGCTGACCTCCAAGGCGACACGCTGGGGCGCGGGCTGCCTAACCTCTCGCCTGAGCGAGTCCACCGTCACCATGTCAACGTCAACAACCGCGTGCTCATCGAAGCCGATCGTCGCTCTGGCTAATGTCGTCCTCGTGTCCTCGAGGAGTACCAGCGCGATCACCAGCAGTACCGACCTCGCCATCTCACGTCCACGTGCGCTCATCGACTTATTCGTATCTTTTACGCAGGGCGCGCCTTCATCAAACGCTACGGTAAGTTATAGCACGTATTATCAGTAGGCGACAACATTTCAACGGACGCTTTTATACTTTCCTGCGACTTTGTTCAATTATCCCACCAGCGGTCTTTCGTCAGGCACACGGTGCCCGATCTACGCTACCTGCAACGCTGCTCTACGTGCTTTTCGCAACTTATTCATTACCAATCTCATTAAAAATATCGTACACGACGATGGGATTATGAAAGGCCGAAATTGAGCGTAAAATTTTACAAAAGACCCACTGCCACGTTGGCAATGCAACAACAACGATATTGAATTAGTCGTGGTGATATCGGGGTTCCCGGGTGATTGCGCCGCCCTTACGCTACCCAAGATGTGCCAATAACTTTCGCTCAGCTGACCCCGAGCTCCGTAAACCTTTTTCAATCCCCATGTACGCATCCACGTTAACTTGTACTCGTAGGTAGCGTTCATCCACCTGCGAGCGACTCTTCATCTTCGAGCCTCGCTCTTTCAAATGAAAGAGAGAGCGAGAGAGAGATAGAGAGATATAGAGAGAGAGAGAGAGAGAGAGAGAGAGAGAGAGAGAGACACCGAGGAGCAGAGAGAGGGGCGGGAGAGGGGGAGAAGGCACGAGACAAAAAAACCTTTCGTAATGAGGAAACGCGCCGGCGAGAAATTGAGGAAAAAAAGTGTTCCGCCGTGTCGATGATTTGGTTTCGGTGAATTTGAACCGCGCCGATTCACTACCGAGGCGAACAACCGCGTCTACTTTCTATCGGCAGACTCGAGCAGCGAGACGAAAATTGGCCGCAGTCGTCGACAAAAGCCACGCCAACGATACAACATGCTTTTTCCACAAGCGGAAAATGTTCCAGCGCAAAACCATAATTAAAAGCGTATATGGGAGTAATGAGACAACTGGCAAACTAACTTGATTTATCCCCATTTCGCCACGACTTCATTCATACATGTCGTACACGTAACGATAATAACGTAAGAGTCGATAAAAATGTTATATCCATCCGCGCGCTCATAACAATTGGCTCAAATTCTTATGGCCTTGCCTCGAAAGCAACACACTTGGTAATACAGCGTCTACTGATTCTCGAAAAATCTTCGTCGAGGCATGCGCATCCAGTAATTGCTTAGCGATCGATGAGAACTGATTTCGAAATGTCCGTTATCCATTATTTTCCACAAAGTCACGTGATCGACAGATTCAATTGTCATTTTTCTCTTTGGGCTCGGTCCTGATGTCTTATTCTAAAAATAATCTTGGCAATGCGATACGATGCACCGACGTCGTTCCAATTAGCCATGGAGGATCGATGGACGCATCGACTGGGCCACGTAATAAAGAGCGAGATAAACATAATTCACGGATGCGCGGCCGATGGCAGACCTCCTCTTCGTTGCCGTCACGACAGCCTGTTACCGAATCGCCAAGTTTTTCTCCGCGTAAGCAGGAGCATCCCCGAGATGGGTAGATGAGCCGTTATGGGATTGGCAGGGCTGAAGGCTTGGTGGGGGGGGGGGG